TAAATCAACGTCTTGTATCTCTCGAATACGGATTGAGTATGAGGCTTTCAAAGCCGGTTGCTCCAGGAGGAGGAATCGCGGGTGGAAAATGTATGGGGGAGGGGAAAGGAGGGGAGCAAAAGAGACACGGAAAGAAGGACAGAAGGCACGCGCGGAGGGAGAGTGAAAGAGGCGCGGAGGAAGGAGAAAACGGATTCACCCGTCAGTCACTCTCTGGCAGACCGCGAGAGAATCACAATGCGAGGCTTTCCTCTTCTCGCCGTCCCTCTTCGTCCTTCTGTCCGCCCGTCCGTTCGTCCGTCTGTCTGCCTGTCCATCCGTTCGTCTCTTCGTCTGCCTCCTGTCACTCTCCCCGCCAGCCTTCCGACGGTTCTCTCCCGCATCAGAAATTCATCTCCTCTCCTGTCCTCCTCCAGGTTCTCCTTTTGTTCCCTCCCTGCCGCCGCAGCCGCCGGCTTGTTATTATGTACTGTTTTATTGCCAGGACGTTGCTAAAGTTCGACCCGGTTACTTGCCCCGGCAAGCCGCGTGGCGTCATTGCCATCGAGCGATTCGCGCCTCCCCGGGATATTCGCTAAAACAGAGGAAGAAAGAAAGAGAGAGAGAGAGAGAGAGAGAGAGAGAGAAGGAGATAATCGAGCGCGAGTTAGTAATACTTATCAAAGATCCGTCTCGGAAGAGAGGCGTCCAGACAACTCTTCGCTCGGCTGTTCCGACATGAAAGAGACGAGGAATTAACGTCGTGCCCCGCTAAGATCTTTTCTTACATACGCAGCTCTACATTCTAACACGGTGGTTATGTAATTACCGGTATCCACCGACCAGGCCTGTCTAACAATGAGGAACACGGAGTAAAGGCAACGGATGTTTGTACGTACATAATAATTCTCACAAACGTCAAACATATTGCATCGGTGGATGTAAAATAATTCTCGGGGGAAAACTTCCTTTTGATATGTCATGCCTTTGTCTAACAATAAGAGGGATCGATACTGTATTTTATGAAATACATTAGATTAGTTATTCTCAATTTATCTTAATAACAGCAAGTTTTTAAGTACGTTTAATTGTGTGCGCCGAGCTATGTAAACCATATTTATAAGATAAAGAATACTCGGCTATCTTTTGCCGCTTTTAAAATTGCCGCTCTGCGTATCAAGTCTCTAACAAACAATTAAGCAGACACCTCGCGTTATAAATTTTCTTAGTAGGTGAATATTCGGCGTAGATGCTAATTACAAGCAAACCTAACTGATTTAACGCGTTGATTGCGCGTAAATCACTAAAGTACACAAGCTGACACGAGTGCGGATGCTTATGCATGTTAAAATTTACGCTTTACTCACCGCAATTTATGAACATGCACTAAAGGATTCTTGTCTTAACACCTTATTTTTCGTTCTGCCATTTGTAAGGCTTACCGCGTTTCATCTTGGCGACTCGTTCCGCCTTCGCACGTCTAAGAGTGACAAATCGTTTTCTGGAAGAATAGTCTTAAAAGAATACGTTCAAAAATGAGCGAAAAATAATTAGTTTTACATTCTCAGTTTTAAAGGACGTATTACACATTGCATCATATTTTAAAAACCTTACGTAAAGAATAAGTATTTTAAGATTATAATAAATTTAATGATAAAAATTAAGATTAAAAATTATTTCTATTAATTATTACTCTGTATATTTTATATATTATTAAATTTGTAGTCAAGATTAGACAGATTATTTCATTAAAAAAAGAACATTTACAAATAATGAAAAATAAAATCAACACGTTTTTTTTTTTTTTTACATTTACCATTCTATTTAATCATTTATGTATACCATTATATCAGTGTAATCTTAATTTCTTAATGCAATTATAATGGTCGTTAAAACTTGTAATTATTGAAACTTGCTTATATTTATCCCGAAAGATCATTAATTTTTCTCGATTAATTTATAATATAAATTTAGATAAATAAAATCATCGTGGTTTTCTTTCGCAAGACACTCTCTCGAAACTTGGCGACCACATAAAGGATCGGGATTAACAGCAATTAGCAGCGGCCGATCGTCCACACATAGAATAGCGAGCGTGACTGGTTCGGTTGTTCAGTCTTACACTATAGCTCACAGAATAGTTAATACCATCAGTTAGCCATTGGTACATTACCAACATGTGTACACCAATGTATGCAGGTGCTTGCTATCTATATCCGAAACTCGTGCGCAGGTTCGTCGTGAACTAAGAAGGGAGAGAGAGAGAGAGAAATATTGCACGTTTATAAAAGAGAGAGGGAGAGAAGACGGAAAAAAATATTGGGCAGAGATCGTAACGGGCTAGAGAAAGCGGATGCTTTGCCGATAAGACTAATTATTGTTGTGGAGCAAGTTGTGTGTAGGCGGGTATTGGCGCAGAACCATCGCGAAGATAGCGCGCGGCCACTAATACACCGCGCTTCTTTCTAACGTGCAGCGGGTGAGTCAAGGACAGCGGGAGCGGGAGCAGATATCGGCCGGTAGCATCTCGCCGAGTGTCAAGACTCGGACCGCTTTTAAGTTCAGTACGCTACGCTCCTCGTTCCCGGCGTATCTTACCGGCGGCTACCGGTCCAGGATATGCAATCCGGTGCGGTCCTTGTTAGCGGCCTGCCAATAGGTCCGCACGAACTCGGCTCGTGCGAGCATTTACATTCTACCGAGCTCGACGTCGCTATCCTACGATCGATCTTGATCACCGCTGGAATACTTTCGAACCGCGGAACCCCCGATGATCTTTGTCATTACCGTAGCATCATATACTATTAAAAGAATATTAATGATACTTATTATCATTAATAATGATATCGATAATAGTAATTTTGTTGATCTTCTGTGTGACTTTGGAATACAATAAACTGTCTCGATATCGCTCTAACGATTAAACATTGGCAAGAGATAGATTGATTGTAAGTAAAAAGTTTTGACTTTCGAATGAATGCTTATAATTAATGATTTCTACGGTGTAACTATCGTGCATTCATGAAGATGGCTTCGTCTCTATCTCCCTGTCTCAGGACACCGTGCTGCTTCCGGAAACTAAGCAGCGCTCGTTGAAATCTCTGACTGGAGACGAAGGTGGCACAATGCTACGATCACGATTGAAATTTCGCGACGCTACTTCGGATCCAGTTCTTTCGCGAATGAGCAAACAAGCGGCGCAAATGGAGAGGGAAAGATAGAAAACGAAGGATGCGCAAATGTGCGCTGGACCCTAGGATTCTGCGACAAGCGAAAAGGATGCAAGAGTTAAAGATGGACTATATTTGTAGCGGGCGGGGCTGCCTGCCGGTGGTCCGCCCGCTCGGTTCCTCGACTTCTTGCATTCTCCTCTTCGATACGCGACTGGATCGGAGCGATCCTCGAAGGTCCTCCTTTTATCTCCTCTCGTCGTCGCCCCGTCGTTCTCTCCTCTCTGTGCACGTAACCGTCCTACGGCTGGTCCCGACCGGATCGGCCAGCCACTCGCTTCCATCGAATGGTCCGCGCCAGGGTCCCGGAGAATCGTTCCGAGAGACAATGGACAATGGGGACATAAATCTGCGTAATTAGTTGCTGATGCTCCCGCGGATCAATGTGCGATCTCCTTTCTCTCCCTCTTCCGTAGCCTGTCTGCGAACAAACGATCGTTTGGTTGGTCACTCGGCAAAGTAGGACGGTGCTCCTGGTTGTCCCCACCCTCTACGAAGGGAGGTATGCTGACCATTTTCTACCTCTCGCCCTGTTCGCGTTTGCCTTGGCGATTGCTCGCGATCGAGGATGCGGCACTCCCTTCTTCAAAGAGGATATGCCGGGAGCAAGATGGCGACCGGGAGAGTTCCGCGTTGTTATTCACATCCGGGTTTGTCAAATATATTCTTATCTTATTTTTTTTCTTGCTTGTTAGTAAGCTATACGATAGCAATTTAGCGAAATCTTTTAATGTATGCATATTTAAGTCGTCGATAAAATAATTAAATTGATTAGACGTTATGACACGACGTAAGAAATTTTTGAAAAAATTTACATACTACATTACGTAACTTCTCTTAGAATATCTATTGACTTACATCTGTTGACTTGATCTTAGATCGAGCTGTTTTCTCTGACGCAACGATGACACCGCCCTTCATTACCAAGAGTTCGAATGGAAACGATTTGATTAAAACTCATAATGCAGATGATGGAACTCCTTGTCCCACCACACAATACCTCGTCGTCGTCGTCGTCGACAACGACGTATCCGACATAGTTCGCATTTTCTCTTTCTTCCTCTTCCTCCTGGTCGTCGTATTCGTCGTCGTCGACGCCATCGTCGTCGTCGTCGACGCTGCCGTCGCGAAAGGCTGATAAATGAACCGATAGTGCCATTGTGTTACTCGCCATCTAAACCTTTATATCACTCCTAGGTACTTAGCTTCGTCATTTCTCAGTATCTCCACTCTTGGGTCGTACGTTCTTCTCTGCTATTCTATCAAGATACGGCGGATGACAGAAGGATTTGATTCGCGTCCTACATCAACGATATACACAAAGACAAGATGATGCATGGTGTCGTCAATTGATATCTATCGCGTTTTATTTATTTATTTTTTTTTTAATTTATTGATTATACGTAAAACGAGTATATTTCGAAGTACAGGTTTGTTTGCTTCTTTGTAATATAGTCATAATTTAATTTTTATACTAACGCGTCTTATCTTTTTAAGCGTAATAAAAAATGTACTGATCAAAAAGATATCTGGTTCCCAAGTTGCAATGCGATAAACTTAATTTTTTTTATATATGTATAAATAGCAATATACACATACACATACACAAAATGTATATCGGTACTTCTTCCTACATGGATATTTAACAGAAGCGCGTAGCATGCCATTATTTTTTTAATATGTAGCATGTTTTGATGGGGTAGACTTTTTTATTAAAATTATTTTTGCGCATATATAAACGTGCATAATGCATAACGGCGACTAATTTGTTCATTCCACGATTTGTTTCAGGGGAGGACGGCGTCGAAGGCTCTGCGCCCGGTACGGACCTCCAAGGCGAGGAGGGCGATTGCGTCGACGAGGATGGCCCTATTAGTCCCAGCGAAAGAGGCTGTGCGCCCGTTGCGAAGGAGGATGAAGATGCCGATGGAACGGATGAAGAGGAGGACGAGGAAGCATCGCCACCTACGCCACCGCCTTCCGCCACCTCGAGATTAAACCCAACTATCTTGAGAGACACAGGACCTCCGGACAGGTAAACTTTCACAATATATATACATATATATATCCGTATAACAATTGTTTTTTTAATAATAATAATAATTGTTTTTACAACTGCTGGGAGAAGCAAAAATAAGAAAGTATTTAATTACCAATTATTTAGTATTACTTCAAAAAAGACTATTTAAAAAAAAGAGGTTTATAAAAGTTGATATATAATTATTATATAAGTATAAAAATTATTTCTATTAAGAAACTCATTTACTCATATACAATGAAAATTAAAAATATCATTTTCATAAAAATTTAATAAAAAGTATTACACTGACAATGTAGAAACTTTTATTCGGTCAGTATCAATTTATCTATCAAGTTTTTTTTTGGTTTTATATATTCATTAATAGAGTATTTTTATATATATGTCTATATGTATATGTATATCTCCGCACATATATATGTGTGTTACTTTTACGAAGAATGTAGAAAGACGCTCAACATGAAATATTTTTGTAACTCGTAGCAGTGAAGCACTGTATCGGCGTGCGCGCGCAAATCAGCTGTGACTATTCGCGCAAATGATTTTTCGGTACAAATCACACGCCAGTCGTAAAAGCGACACGTAATATCAAGAGATGTGTATCTAAATTTTGATCAACATTGTTTGCCGGAGACACACTAGCCGGAGGAGCATTAGCCAGTGCTTTTATCGGAGCAGGGAGAAGCTTCTTATAATAAAGCGTTTAAATGATCGCGAGACGCGCCGATACAACGTCGTGAGCCTTTGATGTTCGCCGTTGTCGGGCGCCCCTCATGTGTACATACACGGCTCGTTGTTGTTTTAAGAGCAACAAATCGTCACGGGCCTCTCCCGTAAATGCGTGTATGCGCGAGGTAAGCGTCGGCGGCAGGGTTAAACGGAGCGAGGCCCGGATAGGGATAAATAAGTCGGTGTCAGAGTTGATATCGGTAGCTGTGCCGCGCACAACGTCACAAGGCTAATAGAGATAGGCACGTGTTACATATCTTCCCACACCGACGACCCCACTAGCAGCGCTACCTCCTAACCAGGGGCGGCGGTGGCGCTCCCGCCTCCCTACACCCGCGTTGTGCCGCCCTGTCCCGCCAGCCCCCAAAAACTTCCCCTGCATGCGTGGCAGTGGTCCCCTTTCATCTCGCGGTACGCATTCGGCATTCAGTCAGGAACAGTCAGTTACGAGCGAGCCGTCGACAGGCCTGGAACGTCGTTACAGGCGCGCCGCGCATCGAAAGCCGAGAGCTTGCCATTACAATAGCCTCGCGCTGGCCCTAATCGTTCCCGCGCCACGTGCTCCCTTTTGATAGTAGTAATTGTACCTCGGACGCGTTGATGACGTTGCGACAGGTATCGATCGCTTCTACGCACGGCTTCGACTAAACCCTCGCGGTTTTTGTCGCAAGCCGGATGACTAACGTTTATCGTCGGAGCGTATAATTAATCGTAATTTGTCGTACGACAGAGATCCGTTATACCTCGCGAGCATTATTCTCGCGGGCCAAGAAACACTCGTAGCCGATGTGAATGCGCGCGCGTACTTTTTTCTGTTTTGTTTTACATAAAGCCAACAAATAATTTATTGTAAAGTGTATTTTCGATGTCGATAACGCGCGGTAATAGTCTGTCATATCTTGTTTATGTCTATTGCGCGTAAATTCATGTGTTGTGTGTATATACATTAGCAACGACAGACGTTCTCAAGCGTGAATTATCCATCGCTGTTACCATCGTGCAACACGCTAACGTCTCTAGGCTTTATCTATCACGCGAGCCTTTTTTCCGCTTACTTTTATCGATGATTCCGGGTATCCGTCGTTTGCATCATACAGTGCGGCAAAAGCTATTTGCGTAGTAATTCCCATGTGGCGGACGGTTATGAAATATTAACAGCGTTACCTACATTATACCGATGCTCGTGGATCGGTTACAAGAAAATTATCGCACGATTATCATGATTAACGACCGGTGTTCGATTGCGAGTTTCGCTTAAACGCTTCGCAAAGCTTTGATAAGATTTGTTTTATTCATCGTATATAGCCTCTTGGAATCCTGGAAAGATCTCGAAGAAGGGACGCGCGTCCGTACTCTAAAATTATAGCACTCGGTATCATTTGCAATTTCAGGGAGCCAATGAGTCCGCGCTGTCCCTCGAGAGATTCTCGGGAATCGTCCGGTCCAGCGACCGGAAGTCCCCCACCACCTGCTACCAGGAACAGCGCGAGCCCAGTCAGTCCAAGTAGTATCGTGCCTCTACCCCTTGGAACTCATCCCCTGCTACCACCCCATTCTGCAGCAGTCATGGCGGCGTATCTGCAACAGACTCATCAGCGCCTCCTTCTCGGTCACTCGCCTTTATCGCGCGGTTCGGTGTCACCTCTGGTTTCCTCGTCGTGTTCGCCACCAGCTGCTACCCCCGGTCTCTTGGTATCGCCTACCAGCATTGGGGAGATCTCGCCGTCAGCGACACCCCTGCCAGCTGTGCTGGACTTTAGCACGAGGAAAGCGTCCTTGACCGAGGAGGACGAGGAAGAACAAATATTAAATCTCAGCAAACCGCCTACGCCGTCTTCATCGACAGAGACGAACAATGGTCCGTTGGATCTTTCAGTATCCAGCAGAAAACGACTCGACACGGAAAATTCGTCGCCTCCACCACCGCGCAAGTCATCAAGATTGGCCTCATCGACGAGTTCCACGAGTCATCAAGAAACGGCGCCGGGAGCCGCACCATCCGGCTTTGGTCGACCACCCATAGTATCCCCTTGGACATCTCCGGTGGTGGCCTCACATTTCCCGTACTTTGCTGCAGCGGTAGCAGCAGTTACTAGTCAGCAGCAGCTTTCGCCGAAAAGCACTAGCGGTGTAGTGGATCATCATCAACTTTGGAACGGGAAGATGAAGCCACCAACAGCGCTGGAAAAACCGTATCAACCTAGCGAAGCTACGAAGGCGCTTGAGAAAATGAGCGAGTTGAGTAAACTTGGCGGCGAGGACCTCTTCAGATCATCTTCCGGAAGCGGTGCTGCCGTAACGGGTGCCAGCGCGCCGGCCACAACGTCCAGCAGTCGTCACAGCGCCTGGCAGTCTCACTGGTTGAACAAAGGAGCCGATCAAGCCAAGGACGTTCTAAAATGCGTATGGTGCAAACAGAGTTTTCCAACTCTGGCAGCGATGACGACGCACATGAAGGAAGCAAAGCACTGCGGCGTTAATATGCCTGTACCACCTCCGGCGCCAGGAATTCACTCGCAGCAGACGAGCATGCCAACTATACCGCCGCCTCAGCAACCACATCAACCGCAAACTTCCAGCAGCAATACTGGTAGCAATAACTCGGCTACACCCAGCAGCAAGCAAAGTCCATCCGATTTGAACCTTTTAATCAAAGAAACAATGCCACTGCCGCGGAAGCTCGTGCGAGGCCAGGACGTCTGGTTAGGTAAAGGTGCCGAGCAAACACGGCAGATTCTCAAATGCATGTGGTGCGGGCAGAGCTTCCGTTCGCTGGCCGAAATGACCTCGCATATGCAACAAACGCAGCATTACACGAACATTATTTCTCAGGAGCAAATAATATCCTGGAAATCGTCCGATGAGAGCAAGGGCGCCAACACTACTGGTAATGCTGGGGCTGGCGGGAATGCCGGTGCAGGAAGCAACGCAGGAGTACAACCGGGTGGTGGATCCGGGCCTCATGGCGGAAACAACGGCGGTCCCGGTGCTGGCGCGACAAGTAGTCATGTTAGTGCCGTGCTAACTTGTAAAGTTTGCGATCAAGCATTTAGTTCTCTGAAGGAGTTGAGTAACCACATGGTGAAGAATTCGCATTACAAGGAACACATAATGCGCTCGATTACTGAGAGCGGGGGACGTCGGCGGCAAACGCGAGAAAAGCGAAAAAAGTCACTGCCCGTGAGGAAACTGCTGGAACTCGAACGCGCGCAGAATGAATTTAAGAACGGCGATGCTGCCGCCAATATGACACATAGTCTCGGCAAGCAAGCCAGTAGAATTACGTGCGAGAAATGCGGGGAGAAGATCGAAACTCCGCTCTTTGTAGAGCATATACGTCAATGCATTGGCGCAGGCACGGTAGGCGTCAATCAGCGAAATTTCTTGAAGAACGCGCTCATGTCTAATCATTTACCTGCAACGCTACCGCCAACCGAGAGCGGACGTAAGAGCGTCAATGAGGAAACATCTTCGATATCATCGAGGCATCACCGATCTCCATCTTCTGCTAGCGACGCGACCACGCCTGGGAAAGATACTCCTACACCGAATGCCAATGAAAGCACCGCTTCAATAGGTACCTCGCCATCGGTTTTGAACGCGATAGAGAAGCTCATCGAAAAGAGTTTCGATTCTCGCGTGAGGCACGGTACATCCGGTATGCATCACGCTCAACCCGGCGCACCTATGGGTACAAGTATTCTCAAGCGTTTGGGCATCGACGAGAGCGTGGATTACACGAAACCTCTGGTGGATCCGCAAACGATGAATTTACTCCGAAGTTATCAGCAGCATCAGCAACAACATTACAACGCGAATGCTGCAGCCAGAAGGGAGCGAAGCGGTAGCGAGTCTAGTTCAATATCCGAGCGAGGAAGCGGCAGAACGGATACCATGACACCAGAAAGACGCATGGATTTATCTACCACGAGTCACGAAAGACACTCGAGTTCTCTGTCTCATCATCATCGTGTCACTCCAGAGAAACAGACTGCGCCGTTACCTAGTCGCCATCATCAAATTACAGAAGAATCCGGAGATGAAGAATCGTCTACCGTGGTAGTAAAGAAAGAGCCGAGGGACGAAGAGACAGAGGAACGAGGCGCGAACGAGGAGGAGCAACAGCAATCGCATTCGACAAGGGAAGTATTTGTGAAGAAGGAGATAGTGGACGACTGCAGAGACGAGGAGGATCAGAGTTCCTACAATCACCGACGAAGCAGCCTCCATGAAACGCCGGAGGACGGACGAGAGGTTCTGTCACCTCGCATGAATCCACCTACGCCACGACCGACCAACCAGGTGGAACAGATTGCGCGTAGTCCCTGTAGAAACAGCACGAGTAGTCCTACCAGCAGCGATCGATCGGTCACGCCACGGGGTACGCCCGACACTAAAGCGTCGAGTAGTCTTGGAGCGCTTTCCTCCATGTTCGACAGCTTGTCCGGTGGTAACAGCGGAGGCGGTGGAAGCAACGTCGACTCGCAAGGACGCAAAACGAGCAGTCATCCTCTTGCAGCGTTGCAGAAATTGTGTGACAAGACGGAGACGCGAGGTCCAGGCGCCAGCGGCGCTTCAAGATCCGGGGGTAGTTCCGGAGGAAGTACCATTGGACCAGGGAGCGGTAGCACGGTAGGAGTGAGCGGTCCGGGCCCCGGACCAACACCGGGTGCCATTTTGGCATTCAGCTGGGCCTGCAACGATGCGGTAGTTACCGCAGATTCGATAATGAAATGCGCATTCTGCGATACGCCTTTCATTTCGAAGGGCGCGTACAGGCATCACCTCTCCAAGATGCACTTTGTCAAGGACGGCGTCATCCCGGATCCATTGACTATCGGCAGGTCGGCCGCAGCGGCTGCGGCCGCCGCGGCAGTCACCCAGGGCACTTCCGGTGGGCCGAGTCGCAACTCCTCGTCGCCGCCGACGTCGCAGCGCAACAAGTCGCCGCCGCTTTCACAAGCAAACGGTAGCCCGTCGCAGTCAGCGGCCTCTCCCCTCGAGGAAAGCCCGCACTCCAAATTTCTCAAGTATACGGAGCTGGCAAAACAATTGTCCAGTAAGTACGTATAGTCCGAGCCCCGTAAGTAGCGGTGCCACTTGTACATAAGTGTATCTATATTGTAACGACTGTAACTAGCGATGGTTGAAAATTTTCATCCCCTTGCCCCCTTTACCCCTCTTTTCCCGCGAACACCGCCGCGCCGAACGACGTCGTCGCGCATCCGACGTCCTCGGGTTTATGCTTAAAGAGGCTGTGTCGTGGCTATATCGGTAAACGGAAAAGAAATCGTACGAGAGAGATTGTACACAAACGATGGTAAATGTATAAGATAATGTCCGTAATTATCATTTTTCTCTCTCTCTCTCTGCATTTGAGATGAATCGCATTCTATTCGCGTATATTGTCGTTCATAAGATGAGATTAATCGTATTATAATATTTGTATTTCCATCACCAATTGTCTTGTGATTGCATGACACTAAATACATATTATATATTAAAAAACAGAAATTATGAAACCAGCATAAATTCACAGATTTTAGATTTTATGTATTTATCAATACACGAGACATTAATTAACACAAGAGCGTTAACCCTTCATTTTGGAATAACGTGGAAAAAGTCGACACAATTGGTGATAAGAGATCTCTTACACAGATTTCTTACTTTTTTTTAGATTTTTTCTCGAATTGTTTTGTGAAACTAATAATAATTAGACTTTTATCTAATATATCTAGAAACACAAAAAATTGAGAAAAACAATATTGAATTAAAAGAATTGAATTTAAAATATTATTCTTAATTATTTCTTCATTTCGCATAGACACACAGGAAGGAAGACGTAGTTCTGGAATGTGAGAGATCCTCTTCTTAAAAATTAAGCCTCGCCACCGCGCTCTTTTAGCCTAAATGTGGATATCTCCGTCGAAAAAACTTTGCCGTTGCGATATCGTTATAACGAGAAATTTCGTTGAGTCACGGAATAAACGCAAACACGTAACGCAATATGACGCAACGCGACTCCGTTTCCGTTTTTGGCGATCGTCTTTTAGTCTGTCATCGAGGACACGTCTTATCATTCCTGGGTTGTTGACGACACGATTAGCGTGCGCCATGTAAGACCCTTCGAAAGTTAAAAATCTCTACATTGGAAAGAGAGGTTTCAAATTCCATTTTATATGCACCTCTCTTATTATTTCTTTTATACTGATCCCTCTCTTCTCTTTTACTACATTTTTAATAATTATGAGAAGATTATGTTCTAGAGTAGACGCGCGCGTAATCATTTAGAACATTTCCTTTTCGTTGTAGATCGCGTGCAACATGGGAAACCTCGCGAGAGGGTTTTTCGCTTTAGAATTTTTCCTCGATCGCGATCGCTATGGGAATAAGAGTCTAAGAACGCGCGCGTGCAACTTTGTACAATTGACATTTCGTATCGTCGAGACACTTTTCCTCAGCACATTTCGCCTTTCGTTTACTTTGTATCACTTTCCTTCCATCGGTATGAGAAAATTAACAAATTGTACCAGTGACTCTTATTTTTCTTTTGTGCCCAAGAAACGTGAGAGGGTGTGACGATGATGTGGGTGTTGAACGAGCGTTAATTAAATTGTGATGCCACCATATCTCGCGGCACTGCTGAGTCACGGGGCTCGGCACGCGGCCAAGTTTGTGATTTTATAAATACTTAAGGACGTTTACGACGTGAGATGAGGAAGATTGCGTGAGATAAAGAAAACTGCAAAAAATCGGTTAGATTAAAGAAAGATAGAGAGATGGAGAGGGAGAGAGAGATAGAGAAAGAGAAAGGAAGAGACGGCGAGAAGGAAAGAAAGCTTATCTATCACCTGTCGTAAGATCGTCAGCATGTATACCTCTAGATTGTAAGGTCGTAGTTTAGTAGAGCATAGGCTAGGCTAGGGTTCTCGACCCTGTATAGGAATCTCTTTGTTGATACTTATTACTACGAAAAATCGAAGTGAGTTTTGCTCGCGGGGACGGACGAGAACCGCCTCGGAGAGCGTTACGACTGCTGCGAATAGTAGGTATAGACATACCTTGGAACGAGTGTAAGAGAAAGCGACAAGAGCCGAAGGGTGCAGAGATGCGGTGCAATAGCGAGACTCGAATAAGTTAATTGAATAAATACACGCGAGACGGATGCGTGCGTGAAAGAACAGAGTGCGAGAGAGAGAGAGAGAGAGAGAGAGAGAGAGAAAGAGAATGCGAGATAGAAAGAAAGAAAATGCGTGTGAGAGAGCATGATGCGTCGTCGAAGAACGCAAATTTTCTCGACGTATAACGTACGTGTAGACCATTGTAAATTTTCTTTGTTCAAATAATATTTATTGCGACGAGAACGAGCCAACGTGTCATTTTACGTGTAAAATATTGTCATTATTATCACTCGAATTATCGCGAATACTGTGTATATTGATTATAATTATAATTATTATATATTACAGTGATATACATATATGCGTGCGGCGTAACAAATGCGGAGCATAGGGCGCAAGTGGAATCAGATGAGAATATGAATGTTACCTGAATGACTGGAGAATAAGAGAGAGCGAGAAAAAAAGCGCGTGAGAGAGATAAAAAAGAAATAGGATGACAGTTTGCGGGGAAAGGAAAGAATGCTTCCGAGAGAGATTGAGACAGTAGAAACAGACGGGCAGAAAGATATAGAGCAGCTGCGTGCGGCCCTCAACAACGCGAAGGCCGGAAAAGAATGGAACATACTTGTATACGTATTTCTTGTAAACTCTAATTCTTCCATCGCGGACTTTAAAAAAAGTATTTATCGACATAATAATAATATTAATATTATTATTGTAATTATATACGACTGCTGAGAGTGTGATGAACGTAAGACGAGATACCATTACGTGGCTGCGACTAACACGTTACACACATACGCGCGCACACACACACGAACATACATATACATACACACATATACACAAGACGTGCTCACACTGTCGCAGTGACACTCGAGAAAAGAAACAGCCAGCCGCGTGCGAATGATACGCTCGAAACGTACCTACCTACTTACAAACACGCAACCACAAAGATATGCATCATGTATACGCGACTCTTGAAACCATTTTACCAGATTTGTCATTATTTAATTATTTCCGTTGTATTTTAAAATGCAATTAAAAGCTCAAATAAATATATATGTTATAAACTAAGAACATGTGCTCTCTTAGTTTATCTCTGCCTGCTTCCTGCAAATCGTTGTTTTCGTGTATTATTCAATAACAATAGCTTTCTAATAATATCACCAAATAAGAATAATATTTGCCATGAAAAATATCACATTTTTTTCAGTCTCCCCAGAGGCCATTTAATTTCCTGTAAATTTTATCTAAAATTTTATTGCTTCGTCATTGTATAATGATAACGATCGTTTCAAAAATTTATTCAACGCTTTATGAAATATATATAAAAGTCGTGCGATTAAATTGCAGATAAAGCTTCGCTCGAGAAAGATCGAAAGATCGATTATCGAGAGGCGATTCAAACAATTTATAACCGACCTCGTCTGAGACTACTAAAAGTTTTACATATTTCAAGAAACCGGCACCATCATTATGAGCCTCGATTAATTTTTTTTTCATCCGAGTAATGTATACGAAGTAATGGATGCAATGGAACGAGGGTCAAATATTCGTCACATCATTACGCGTACTAACGGTAAGTGCTTATTTGAAACAATTTGTCACCACGGCGTATTCTTATTATAAATAAACCGACTTGTCCGATCGTTAAATGTCTAACTAATAGCGCGGATTCTCGCTATCGATGCGCGATCGTTAAGCGTGAAACCACTTTTCGCTTTCTTTCGACAGATATCTGCATTAATTAGAAATACCGGTATCCGTCCGCGTTCTCTCCGCGCACGGCTTATCTCCTCGCCTTCTCGAGAAGACGGCATTCGAAATTTACGCCTGCGAACGCCAAAGAGAGGGAGAAGGATCCTTAATATAGCGAGCAGTCCGGAGCGCGCGCTCGCTAATTCGGTGCCATACAATACCGCATCGAATGTACCGCATCGGTATCAAACTCACCCCCGCGTATGTTAACCGCAAAGAATAGAGACGGTCGGCGGATAAACTAGATAAACCGGCGAGTCTGTATACTACATTACGAGCGCACGATTTCGCTTATCAGCCGGGAGACGTTACGCGAGATATCATCTCCCTCAAGGACGCCGCTGGTCTGCGGACCCTCCATTGAATCCAACGAATTCCCCCGATCATACCACCCGCCCCTCGCTTTCCGTCCTTACCCATACCGGCTGGATTCGCGCGTCGTCTTTTCCTACTTTTTTTTTTTTTCGCCATTTGCGGTGCATAATGACGACTTGGAGTCGCCGGATGGCGGTCGCTAGCCAGCAAATCACGGTGAAGGTCGATCCGTTGAAGGAGCCGAAGGAAGAACAGAGAGGGGGGACATGGCGAAAGAGAGATAGGGGGAAAAGCGGGGGAGGAGAGATGTGGGTAGGAATTGCAGAAACCGGTCGGCCACTACTCGTCCTCTTCATAAGAGATACGCCGCATGCCGCAGATACGCGGATACTTTTATTTTAACCGTAATGCGCTAATGAATTGATACAGCGCCGAGTAGCTTCCTCTCGCGCCCCGCTGTCTCTGTAGTCCTTATTTTATTTCGCTCGCTTATTCCGCAAGGGAGGATCGGCGGCTGTGATGTCGTCTGTGGGAACGATCTTCTCGAGCGACCTATTCCGAAACGCCAACCAACCAAGTTACGATTAATTTTGCAATAAAGCGATTTTCTTAACATTGTGCCAAACATTCTCCGCATGTTTTCTGAATGTGCTTGAGTTAAGTGCTATCTGATTTTTTTTTTTTCTAGTATGTCGTGAGAGATAAATTTTGATTATATATCATTTAATATAACATAATATATAATATGTTATATATATATATATAATGTATAAAGATGAGAAGATAGGAATATGAGAGGTAAAAATATCTGAGAAATGTACTTTAAATTTCTTTCAGAAGTAAAAATTTTTTGATTATAGAATGGTGTGTATAATTTATATATGTTAAATTACGTAAAAAGAATCATAAAAATTTAAGAGATACACGTGATAGGAGCAACTCAAACTTGAACATTTAATTTTATAAGCTAAAAACATAATAAAGATATATATACCTATATATATATGTGAATTCTTATATTCTCTCTCATATCTTTTTTTTCTCCGGCATACAAAATATGTTGTCATAAATCACCGACATTTATGCCATTAGATAAAAAATTGGCAATTAAGATCAAAGATCAAGTTCGAAAAACGAATGTCCAAATTTGGAAGTAAACCCGCCGCGGATGGATTTGTAGTAAAGGAGGATTTGTGTGAGAAAAGGGAGTCGCACGATGGGACCGGTGAAACCCGAGAAGAGAATGAGGGGGGCAAGACGGATGGCTAACGGTAACGATAAAGAATTTAAATCTTGCTCTATCTTAGCGAGCGCCCAATAAATCCTCGATAAGACTTGATTTTACGAGTCGGGCTATTAAGCGCAGCCGCGCAAACGCTCGATTGCCGGAAATCGTCCGTTACTCGGAGGGTCAATGGTGCATAATTACTCAAGCATAATGATCGCGAATCGCCGAGTCGAAAGAAGGCAATTGAATGATTTCGCGGGCACTAAAACGTCGCGCGTCCGATAATGCGCTCGCAGCGGAAAGAACGACGGTTATCGTCGTGCGCGTAATTGCGCGCGAGGATAGCCACGATATATACTGTAACAAAAACGGTCGATCGAGCGTACACGCTCTTGGTAATCGCTAGTGCATTCAATTCGAATCGATGCATCGCCTCTGATTTTCCTATCTAAATCGCCGGGTGCATCAGCCGGCGCATCAATTGGGCGACGTTATCGTAAACATAGAACGTATATATACGCCTGATCGGGCTCGATCGGCCATTCGAATAATAATTACGAAGCGACCGATCTCTTCGGTCTGATCCTCTGTAGCAGTGATGGAGCAGAGGGGGATAAGTCGCCGAATCGAGACGAGAACGATGAAGAAGTGCCGCATAAGGCAAACGCCGAAGAAAAAGGGAGAAAAGAGACGGAGTAAAAGTATGTAAGAGAGGGAAAGACAGAAGGAGAGAGGAGAAAGGCAAGGAGGAGGATAAGCGATGAAGGGAGAGAGAAGGAGAGAAAAGGAGAAAAGAGAGCTTACGGACCTCACCTACCTATTGCCCGGGGCTGGTAAATGAATTCGTCTAATGGGTCGTAAAGAATGCGATCTTATGGAGCGAAGAGGATAAAATAAAACATCGCTCGAGAGGCTACCGATTCTCGAACGGCCCTTAAACTAACCCTCGCCTTAAAGAAACGAGCCCTCATTTCTCCCAACGGTATTTAAACGCTACCGTCGTTACACATCGCGTCTCGATGAGGACTAGTGTAATGTAAGAGAAGTTTATCGTTTACAAGTGGTAATCTTTAAGGATAACATCGATGTGCGGATGAATATACATATATGTATAGATAAATATATAAAAAAGAAATATAAATGTCGCCTCGATTATGCATTCTGTGCGACAGGGCGTGTGCACTGCTTATTAAATGAGTATTCATAAGTACAAAGATTAACTAATCTCTTCATGTATCTTATGTGTAGTGTAAGCCTCTTATATAAAATTATTTTATGAGAACCACTGTCTCAGAGAAATTTTTCAAAGCATCATTGATGATGTCGAAATCGGTAATTCTTCGATGATTGGCTCGCCGATGAGCTCGCATTGGTCGCAGATCCTCGTCGGGGAATCTAGAGATTCGCTCTTCTTCCTTTTACCGATATCCTAACACTCGACCATCTTCTCCTCGGCGGTTTCCCTCCCCGTTCCTCTCGTAGCGCAATCCGCGTCCGCGTAAGCGCAGTTCGTCTTGAACACGTCCCGACGTTTCTGTTCTTTATGTGCGCCACGCCAAGAGCTATGGGGAGATCCCTAGTTACTATCTATACCGTCGGTGACTTCTCTTTTCCTCACTCTTTC